TGCCTTGGGAGTAGTGCACTGCCCCTCACTGAAGGTCCTTGAGCTAAGGCTGAATAACCATTGGATGACCAGGCATGGTGTGGACAGAGTATTTTACAGCTGTGGGCTGGACTAGATAGTCAATGTGATCCCCTCCAACTTTGAAATTCAGGGATTTTGTGCACTGAGTAGAAGGCTTCCAGGATGTAGGGGAGGTCCATTTTGGAGAGCATGTGGGAAGGCATGGAAACTGCTTCGCAATGACAAAAGGAAGCTCAGCACCAATGATATCATAGATCCAGAAAAGTATCAACCACCCAGCCAATCTCACCTTCCCTGCTCTACCCTGTAGCCCACCCCTCCTCTCCAAGAGACCACAAGCTGTCTCTATCCAGGGAGGGCAAATAGGAGGGAACAGAAGGGGATGAGTCTCAAAATCACGCCATACAATGTCTGGCTGAAGGAAGTGGGCACGGCTGACCCGGAAGAAGAGATGACAGTTCGAGAAGAAGGAGTTTCTTAATCATTAGAAACCTCCTCCCCAGACTCTCAGTCCTGGAAGACACCTATCTTCAAATGAGCAAGGAACTCTTATAATCCAGAAAGGGCAGATCTGAGCCGTGTAGCCCTAAAATTAGAACAAAACTAGGACCTATTAGGGGAGGTGGACCGAAGTCACAAGCAGGCAGATTTCAGTTCAATATAAGAAAAAATGTCCTAACAAATAAAACTGTCCAGAAGTGAGGAGCTCTTACATGAAAGTCCCTTCCAGTACTGTCATCCTATGTTCTATATTCTGAAGTCCCACCTAACTCTGACAATCTACACCTAGAACATACAAATTGGGTGGAATAGAAATAAAATAGAAATCAAGACTGGACAATGAGTGAATTCTCTACCACCAGCAGTATTCAGGCAATAGCTCACCTGGACGAGCTCTCCACGGTCCCTTTCAAGATCTGGAGTTCTAGGATTTTAAGCTGGAACTATTTTAAAAGAAATGTAGACCCTGAGAGAATTCCTGGCCCTTGAGGACACACACTTAATAAGTCATTGCAGCAACACTCAAGACATAATGACCCTTGTACTAGGGGTTCTTAACTTGGGGGATTAATGGACACATTTCAGACCTTGGATGGGAGGGGAAAATTACCTTTTTATTTTTACTAACTTTGATTCTACGTATTTTACTTTATGTATTAATAAACCCTATTCTGAGAAGGGGTCCATAGCCTAGACCACACTGCCAAGTGGGTCCATGATACCACAAAGTTAATGATCCCTGCCCTAATGGCAGTCATGTTTTCTTAAGAACACACTCTCTTTTGGGGAAATCAGAATGCCTCTGCCTCCCTACTTGATTTCACTTAGAATATCTAGCAACTGGAGGCCAGGAAGTCTGACCCTGTTTAAATCAACATATTTATGAGGAGATCCTGGAGGGGTCAGAAACCAGAGGCTCTCAGCTTCTACTTCTAGATGACTGTCATTATCACTGTCGCTGTCATCACCACCACCATCATCATCAGCTTGGTAATCCAGCGGTCAAAGAAACTTCTCGAGTGTGTTCCTTTGTAAGCCATGGCAGGATTATGTCATGGATTATGTCCCTCTGTAGAGTGACCTGAAGTTTAAGGGGCAGCAAGGCATCATGGTCTTAAGAAAGCCCCCAGAGAACAGTATCTGTTTGTTTATTTATCTGTCATTTGGTTCCTTTGGCAATCTGGTGAAACCTATGGATCCCCTTTCAGAAAAAATGTTCTTAAATGCATAAAACAAAACATGGAGGATCACAGAGGAAACCAAGTATACTGTTATACATGTATTGAAAGATTGAAAAAAAAGTTCACAGACCTCAGGTTAAGGACCCCTCAGTTAAAGTAATCTTCCTAATGTCCATCTCTCCATTCAAAACCCTTTGATGGCTATTACCTATGGAAAATGAGTAATCGCCTTAGCTTACTACATAAGGCCTGTCCTATTCTGAGCTGATCCTCCATTTATAAAATCACAGCATTTAAAGTTGTGAGAGACCCTTGAGATCACTGAGTTCAACACGTTCATTTTACAGATAAAGAAAATGAGACCCAGAGAGAGAAAGAGATTTGTTAAAGCTCCTACAGATGGTGAGTAGCTGAGCTGGGATTCAAATGCCAGATCTGCTGCCCCTCCCACCTTTTCTCCCATCACTACTCTTCCTTCACCCACTCTACATGCCCATCAAACTGCACTCCTCAGGGCTTACCAAATATTTGGAGCCAGAAGGGCTGCAGAATTCAACCCTCTCATTTCAGAGACAAGAAAAATGAGAGCTAAAAGGACTTGCTCCAAGTCACACAGAACCAAGGTTCAAACCCAAGTGCTGGACATTCTCTGAATCCACCCTGTCTCTTCCTACTTTACTGCCTTGATTCAGGAAATACCTCCTCACAAATGGAATGCCTTCTCCCCAAATCTGTCTACCCCAAAGTCTTATCCACTCCTCAAGGCCTGGAGAAAACGTCCAGTTTCAGGGAAAGGAATCAAGTACGGTGCGTTGTTCACTCCTGCTCTTATCATGGAGGCCCTAAAATGAACGACTGATTTCCTCAGAGAACAACACACACCAGAGAAAGTCTGTTCTCACAGAGTCCCTGAGACCTTAGATCAGAGAATGACAGGGCTGGAAGGAGTCACAGAACAGAATGCTTTCCAGGAAGCTTTCTCAGATCTCCAAGCCACAAGCGGCCTCTTCCTCCTCTGAACCCCAACAACACTGTCCACCTCTCTGCTGCTCTTCTATCCAACTCTGGATTATAGTAGTGACAGTCCTGTATGTTATTCTCTTATCTTCTCTGCTAGACTATGAGCAGCCAGCACCAAGCTAAAGACTAAAAGCTCTCCAACAACCCTTCAGGCTCTGATATCTTAGGTTCCTGTTTTGAGGGCCCATCTAGATTTGATATTCTATGAATATAAAAACAGAATACAGACTATAATGTAAAAATGTAATAAAAGGGGTTTAGAATGTTACATTAGTTCAAAGGATGTGCATGTGGCTCTCCAAGGAAATCAGACATTCATTTGGGGACTTCCAGAATGAGAGCTGAAATGAGTGCCAAATAAACAGTAATGTCTCGGTGACAGAAATCAGTCCATTACCTCTCCACGGTGTCGCCTGCAGGCATTAACTTCCCAATCTCTAAGTCTTCATCCTTATTATGGGCCGTTTGTCCCCTAATGCACAAGTTGGGCCCACCCGCCTGCACTGTGCTAAGCTCCACTGAACCCTAAAATGATTTCCCTGAAGTGGGGAAGTGCCAGCCAGGCCGGTCCATCAATGTCAATGTCCTGTGGGCCAATGTCACATGTCAGGAGAGAGAAGAATTGGTGGCAGCTTCCTTTCCCTGAAGGTACCCATAACAGTCAAATGTAGTGCCAAGTAGAGGACCTCAATTGGTCCTCTCCTGCCACCTTCTGGCCAAAGTGGGCAACTGTCTGAGAGGAAACAGTCAAAGGGGGAGACTTAGGGAAGGCAGGATGGTAGTCTTCATGTATTTGAAAAGACGGCGCATTGACAAAAGATTAGATTTGTCCAATTTGGTCCCAAGAAGCAGAAAACTAGGAATAATGGGTAGATTTTGGGTTGATGTTAGAAAGACCATCCTATTACCCCAAAGTGTTCCTGTTAGCCTCAGGATAGAGGGGGTTCCCCATCACTTGGAGGTATTCAAGGGGAGGCTAGTTGACCAATTGGTCTCAAATCTATCATAGACTTGGGAAGGGGGGCAATGTATGTGAATGATTTTGGACAAGCTGAATCTGGGCCTCAATTCCCCCTTTTGGAATTCAACAAATTTTAAAAAATATTTATTAAGGGCCTACTATGTGCAAAGCACTGCACTCTGGGGAGTTCCTGCCTTCAAAGAGCTCACATTCTACCCAGGGTGTGATGGACAACGAAGAAACTGCACTAGATTCTAAGGGCCTTCTAACTCTAGTAAACTATATTTTTATGATATAAGGTCTATTTCTGATATCCCATGTTCTGTGATCTCTTTCTTACTCTGACTTTACGTCTGTGTGTTACATATATCAAACACACACACACACACACACACACACACACAAGATATAATATGAAAGTACAACAAGAGGGTTAAAATACTGTCAGTGCAGTAGGAAAAGTCATTTTACACTGGAAGGTATCAGGGAAGACATCATGAAGGAAGTGTTACCTAAGCTAGATTTCATCTTTCTTGGGGTATCTATCCTGTCTTCCCAGCTAGAATGGATTTCTACCCTAACCCCTGGTTTCAGGGAACTTTCTAATGAGTTTTTTATATCCTTATCCACTGGTAAACAGTCATACTTCAATAAGTATTGATGATGAGGTGGGAAATCAAATTTTTGCTGGTTGAAGAAGAAAGGATGTAAGAAGCAAGTCTCTTTTAAGGTAAACAAGGCCATTTTCAAGAGTATGCAGTTTGGGGGCAGCTAGGTGATGCAGTGGATAGAGCACCAGACCTGAAGTCAGGAGGACCTGAGCTCAAATCCGGCCTCGGACCAAACACTCGACACTTACTAGCTGTGTGACCCTGGGCAAGTCACTTAACCCCAACTGCCTCGAAAATAAAGTTTGCATTTTAGACAGTATCAGATCTGAAGCACAGATCCCACCTACAACACTCTCAGAAAGTAGCCATTCAGCTTTTTCTTGAATGCCCCTGATTATGGGGACTTCATTCACTCCGCTCATGCCACTGCTGGACAGCTCCAACAGCAACCTGCCTCTCCATAATTCCCTCTCCTCTTCCCTGTTCTGCCCCTTCGGGCCCAATGCAAAGAACTCCACTCCCCCTGTCCCAAGACAGGCATTCAGAAAAGTCATCAGTGAGCATGTCTGTCCTATATTTTCTCATCAGGCCAAATGTCCTCAATTGCTTCAACCCAAATCTGACTATGGATGGAAGGTGGTTTGGGGAAGATAACACCAGAAAGTGCAAAGCATGAATATGGCCATTCTCTGTTCCATCACAGACCTTCCTCTGCTCCTTCCTCATGACGTGTTTGTCATCATCCTTCCAATAGGCATCCTCCAGTTCCTGCTGCCGCTTGGCATCAGCTGCTGCTTTGGCCTCGGCCTTTCTTGCTCGGGCAGCGGCCGACTTGGTGTTCTCGCCCTGGAACTTCTTGGGCATCCCTCAGCATGGACTTCAGGAAAAGAAGAACAAAGGTCAGGGTTGCATGGGGGCTCCCGGGCTGTGCATCCCCTTCAGTTCACACTGACTAAACACTCGGCACAGACACCCACAGCACAGCTCAAGGATGAAGATGTCATGGCCCCTGTCATTGGCAAAGTGAGGGAACTGGCCCAGAAGCCTTCTATGGAACCTCTCAGCATAGGATATCCTATGTCCTAAGGACCCTTCCAAAACTATGAATATACTGTGCTAAAAGCTGCCATACAGTAAGTGGGTAGATGATGGTGGACATGGCTGCTAAGGGAAGGTTTCCTGGATGAGGGGAGGCTCCAGCTGGTTCACAGGATAACTCCACCAAGGTCCTAAAGAGCTTTTTTCCAGCCTACCGGAGTTGACTTTAAAACTGTTTTGTGTGGGGATGAAATGAGACCTATGATAGGACAAATTGGCAATCTATTAGTCAACCTTTCTCCACCTGGCTCCTGATCATCTTTGCCAGATTCCTGGGAAGAAACTAGCCAACTATTCTGTTCCCACCGCTTTTCAAACAGATCTCAAAATTTGGGTATAGTTTTGCTTAAATAGCAAAAAATCAAAAATTAAAAATCAAATATGTTAAAACTCCGATCATCCTTGACCCTCAATGAATGAGGGACTAGAAACCTGAGACTTTCAGATAACTGAAGGTTTATGTCATGTAAGCATTATTTTAAAATTTTTTAATTCTTCTGGATGAAAAAATCAATAAGAAAATGATTATATACACACACCTCTGTCTTCTTTAGCAGTATAAAGAGCAGAATCAAATGCATTGATGATTTAGGGTCATCAATATAAACATCAAGGGTATAATGGAAAGAACTCTGAATTGGGAAGTTAGGAGATCTGGGTTCTAAAATTCTGGCTTAGAATCATACAATAATCTGTTCTGGAAGGGATCTTAGAGATTATTTACTTCAACCTCCTCATTTCACAGAAGAAATTGAGATGCAGAGACTACATGTCTATTCTTTACTCAGGATCAAAAAAGAATGAAAAGAAACCAAGACTAGCAATGACAGGGCAAGATATGGCTATAGGCAACTCGGATGTACTTCTCCCCACTTCCACACTAGGTTCAAGGGCTTTAATTGTTGAATCTCCTTTCCTACAGCTACTGGGCAACTTTAGGAAAGCATATGCAATTAATCAAACAGCCAGTTGCAAAATAATTGTGAATGATGAACCTTTATAACTGACAGACATGGAAATACACACAAGGCCCAGTGATTTAGGTAAGTACGTCCCACTACCATGGGAAGCGGCAGTGATAACAACGCCCACATGACACGTGACTTGCAGTTTAGAAAATACCAAATAGAAGGCTAACAGTGGATTTATTGCATGTAAGTGGTGTTACTACTGCAATCTTGATAACCAAATCCCCCGACTTCTCCCTGTGGTTCCTAGGGAAGATGCCCTTAGGTACCCCTGGGCCAATCAGCCCAAAGAAAGACCCAGGGGAGCCCTGAGGGAGCCTGGCTGAGGTGAGGCTGGCTTCCAGCTGCTTGCAGCTACCAAGGCAGAACAAAACAGCTTCAGCACTCTCCAGGGAAAGGCACATCACAGCAGCTCCAGAGAGTCTGAGAAACCACAGCCCTTCCCCTGGTCTGGGAAGGTGTCCGTCTCCTGTCTCCAGGGAGTTAGTAATTGACAAGACTGTCATGCCTGTCCCCGAGCTGGTAGCCTAACAGCTATCCTCCACATGGAACCTGGCAGATGTTTTTCCCTTAACTCAATTTCATTTCAAGTGTCCAGATACCACTATGCATTAGACACAACAGAGAAGCCTTTTGCTACGAGGGGAAAGACTTCACACTCTTGTTGGTTTAAAAGGTTTACACAGGGCGGGATGTTATATTGCATTTTCAATACATTATTTATTAAGCACCTACTATATATAACAAGAAGGCACCATGCTTTACAACCAGGATTTAAAGATAATCAAATGGTGAAACGGAGAAAGAAAAGGAGACGTAAACGGCCGATAAAAAGGAGATATGCAAAAAGGAGAGGGCCAAGCAAAGGGAACAGTGATGAACTCCTAGGTTATTGAATATTCCACAGGAGAGGGATAGTGTATTTATCTAGACTTGAGTATTGAATATTTCTGTATGTCAAATGCCCTCTGCTGGACTGGGTTCTCAAATGCAGGGACGGTATTCCTAGATCTCAACCAACACTTTAAAATGTCTCCTAAGTGCAAGGTACTGGGGATACAGACACAAAATCAAAAGCCTTTGCCCACAAGGAGCATCCATGCTACTGGCATTTCCTCCAGCCCAAACCCCTTGCTTTGCACACAGCGGCCTTTATCATGCCAAAGGCTTTTTTTTTTTTTTTCAAAGTAGTCTATTGTCAGAACAAAGGACACGGCAGTCCCCTAGTGCTCTGCCTTCTTTAGACTCCATTTTCTCCATTACTCCAAAACTGGGGTATTGTGTCGAGTTCTGGGAAGCCCATTTTAAAAGGGGCATTTACCAGCTGCATCCTTGTGCAAAAATGTGCAGCCCAGATGGGGAAGCAAGCAGGTCATGTCCTAAGAGGGGCAGCTGGAAGTAATGGGGATGCTTAGCTTGAGAGGACTGGTGGGGCAGGAGGTAGAGCTAACTTCTGTCTTCACCTATTATTGGGTAGAAAGTATGGCCTCAGATGGCTAAAACAGGACCAATGCGGGAGGAAGTAAGAGGGAGGAAGATTTTGGCTTTAGAGAAGAGCATCTTAACCATCAAAGCTGTCCAATGACGGAACAGACTGTGCAGGGGGGCGAGGAGTTCGTCATTCCCCGAAGCAATCAGGAATAGGTTATATTGGCTGCTGCTAGAGAGGGATGCTTTGAGGTGGTTCCTGGAGTTTGGACTTGAGGGCCTTTAAATGTCTCAACTTCATGCAGTTTTTTAGAGAGCTCTCAACTCAATTACTTCATCCCACCCTCTCAACAGGCCTGGGAGTGACAGACATTTTTATCCCCATGCTTACAATTGGGGAGGAGGCCTGTGAATTACTCCACAGTGGAGCCAATGGCCAGGGCTGGAAGTCAAATCTTTTGCAGATATTCTATGATCTTCTAAGAGGCATAGGGATGTTGAGAATCCAGGAGAAGAGTGGCATTGCCCCTCTGATGCTCATAGGCCAGGAAAGCATCCATGTAAAGCCTCCTCCAATGCCTCAGCATGGCCCTAGGGGCGGGGGGGGGGTTTGTGGGTGAGACTAAGGTTCTCCAGGGTTGTGCCAATGGAGGGCCAGCTCTGGCAAGTGCTGCCAAGCTGGAAAGGCTTTAATGACAGGCCTAGACTGTGCAGTCAGCCTGTTACACAAGCATTGAGCTAGCTAAACGTTAAGAAGTTTACCATTAACCACAGGCTGGCTACCAGGTGACAAAACTTTTCAGCCACAAAAGCACCTACTAAGGTATAGAGGGGTTGTACTTGGATCAGTGGAAGGAGAATTCACCATGCTGAGATGATGGATCATTGAGGTATACAGACAAGGGACCATTTAGCACATGCCAACAGTTAGTTTGACCTGATGGGCCATTACTCCAGTAATTACTCCACCTTGATGAAACAGAAGATAGAGCACTAGGCCCGGAGTAAGGAAGACCTAAGTTCAAATTTGGCCTCAGACTTACTAGCTGTATGACCTTGGACCAGTCACTTAACCTGTTTGCCTTAGTTCTTCCATTATAAAGCTGGGATAATAATAGCACCCACCTCCCAGTGCTATTGTGAAGATCAAACGAAAAAATATTTGTAAAATGTTTAGCAGTGTCTGGCATATAGGGGGTGCTATATAAATGCTATTATTATTATTATTTGGATGTAATTCTGACTGATGACACTGTGGCCTAAGAATGAGAAGAGATAAGATCAAAGGGCATGAGAATGACCCCCAATCTCTCTCCTAAGTGCTGCTTCTGCATTTCCAACTAGCTGATGCACAGCTGTCTTCTGGTCACCTGGCCACACCTCAAATTCATCTTTTCCAAAACCCAATACACAGGATGCCCACCAAACCCATTCCAAGTGCTACTAATGGCACCATCATCCTCTCTGACACGGAAGTGTCTTTGCCTGACTCTATGTCTTCACATCCAATAAACTGCCAAATCTTGGGGATTCTACCTTCAAAATGAATCTTGTCCCCTCCTCCCCATCTCTGGCCCTTATTTACTCTTACCTGTATTTTTTTTAAAGTAAATTTTATTTTAGATTCCATAACAAAGTACAAGCATATAAATACATAAACAAGAGTATAAAGAATGAACAAAAAACCAAATTACACCTGCAGAAAGTTCTTTGACTTCCCGATTGTTAAAAAGTGTGCATTGACTCTCACAAGGAGTAATCAATTACCCGCTATTTCCATGAAAACTCATAAACTTCTTTTCTGTTGACTGAACAGGGATTTGTGGTTGTTGTTACCTAGTTACATGGGCAGCCATCACATATGCTGTCCTTTGGGTTCTGTGTTCCTCACTCTACCTCCCAGCCCGTTTCTCTGCTTTACTCCACCCTGCCCAGGCTGCCAGGCCAGTCAGGTCATGCCACTCCCACACTTTGGGCACAGGAAGGAGCACTACTATGAGGGGCAGAAGCCTAGCTGTGTGACCCTGAGCTTCATCTCACTGAGCCCACGTTTCAAAATCTATAAAATGGGATTAATCATACAGAGGTGTAAATAATTATTATTTAAGAATCTTCAATAGCTTCCCACTGCATACATGCAGGAGTTCTCAGTACAGCATTCAAGGCCTGTCATGATCCAGCCCCAAGCTCCCTTTCCAACTTGCCCTTTCAATAATCCCTAACATATACTTTCTGCTCCAAGTAAACTGAATAACTCAATATCCAAATGTGCCTATGCTGTCTAGCTTCCATGCCTCTGCTCACATTATTGAGTCTAATGGGAATGCCTTTTCCTAGAATATCATCTTCATCTCCTCTGGCCACACAGACAGTAAGGACTCAA